GAACAGCCAACTTTGTGGTTCGTAGCCCAGTGCAAATCTTACAGCACCACTCCAGGAGCCCAGCTCCATAGTTAGCTGAGCTCAAATATCAGTTCAACTACTTTCTAATTACGTGATCTGGAACAATTTACTTAACTAACTTCTATATCAGTTTCCTCTTGTGTAAAGTGAAGCACTTAAAACATAGCCTGAAGAGTAGCAAATGTCATACAAGTGTTCGTTGTTATTATTTGTTGTGCCGTCGAGTCGATTCCGACCCATACAAGGTTTCCAAGGAGCTGCTGGAGAGCTTGAACCACCGATCTCATGGTTCAAACGACTTTGAAGTCTGACTCATTAGCCCACAGCGCCACATATACTAACTCTATTTCCTTCAGAATTTTACCTATATCTATCCCTTCCTCATCAGTCCAACTGCTATAACCTATGGTATTCCCCCCATCCTTTCATTATTATGCTACTTTTTTTGCTGATGCTGGTTGTTTTCCAATTCATGGATTTCCAATCCATAGGATTCTGAAGGTTTTTAATAAAAGATTTCCACGCAAGTCTTCCAAGGCGCCACTCTGGACTTTGAATCATGAGTATTATGAATGCTAACTCACTTGCGCCACCTAGCGACTCCTTACCTACAAGCCTCTTAACTGGAATCCATTGTGAAGACACCACCAGATTATTATCCAAAAGATAACTGCTCATAAAATTGGCCCTTAAAACGTATTCTCCTTTAAAAAATATATATCTACTATCTAAATTAAAATTTCTTATTCTGTTATCAATGTTTCCAATTTGGCTTAGCTTTATTTTCTGGTGTTGTTATTTGTTTTCAGCGGGAGACAAGTAAATTATTGTTTCCAAACTTATCAATGTGTCATTCACTGGATGTGAAATATGCCTCTTCATCTTTAAACTCTGGAAGTCCACTTCCTTTGATTTCTATGTTAACATTTTCCATTCACATGTAAACCTAGCTCAAATGCATTCTTCATGATGAAATCTTGCACCAATGTAGCTCCAACTTAAGTCTCAGTTCTCAGATGTTCTCTAATGATTTTTTTCACAAATCTGTAAGTTTTCTTATTGCTTTAATTATTGGAAACGACATTCTCAGTTTGTTTAGTTTATATACCACACTCATTACTGAAACATTGGAGGTTCAAACGCAACAGAGGCACCTCCAAAGAAAGTCCTGACTATCTATTTGCAAAAAATCCAATCACCTTAGGGAGAACAATTCTTCCACTACATCCAGGAGTTCACCAACTACTCTACAGTCATTACTAGAGTAAAGTACGAAACTATGTCAAAAATGAAGAGGCTGATTTGTTAAATGACGTGAAGTGATAAGAGATTCAGTGCGAAGAATGAAATGAAAATAATGATCATCAGATCATTGAAAAGGTAAAGTAAGCAGTATGGCCAAGGTGTAAAAAGTGTCACTCTGACACACAAGAAGATGAAAATGGGGAAGAGATGATTAGGTCAAGCTTAATTCCTCATTGCAAACTTTTGTCTACTGCATAGAGAAACTGAAAGACTACAAGAAAAAGTTACACATTTCAAATTTTGGAAAAGCAAGAATAATAGAACCATAAAATATTGATTCTGAACCCAGGAAAAGAACTTTTGAAATGTTTAAGCTTTCTTTAATCAAACACCTTTTTTTTTCTCCCCCAAGACAATTACTTTTAGATTGTTTTGTAATCCCATTGACAATCTAAGGCAATTATTATTTTTTTAATTCAATCACAAACTTCTCACAATTTTATACATTGTTGTGAATAATTCATTTACTAAAGGCATTGTATTGTGATCTGAGATTTGTGAACAATGTTTTCATAAGAGTTAAAAAAAGAGAAAGATCAGCCACAGATTGTCAGTACTTAATGCCCAGGTTAAGAAGATAAAGAAAAGCTTTAGAAGTAAAATAGGCCTTTAGCGTCATTACCATAATGAGAGACTTAAACTTTCTGAGGTACATTTTCCTTATATGACAAATGGGAAGGATAGCTTATATAATGAAAGAATGATGCTATTGCTTAAATTAACTGAGGTGCTGAATGTAAAATGTATGGTACAGAGTCAATACTTTATATTGTATTCCTGTCCCCAATCCTTCAGATTCTATTAATTGTTTAATAAAGCAATGTCTAAGATTATTTTTACAAATTATTACACAAGGCTTTTAACTATTTTATTCATTTATTTTTAAGCCTTCCCTGCCTCCTAACAAAACAAAAGCAGACTACAGAGGCACTTCACAACTGCCTGTTCTTCGCTCCAAAAATATACAAACACAACACTGTCAACCTTAGGATCTCAGGTCAACAAATGTTGGGATATGTATGTATGCTTATTTTGTATACTTTATATATAGTGCTCAGCTGCCAACCTAAGGTTGGCAATTCAAGCCCACCAGCTTCTTCCCAGGAGAAAGCTGAGCACTTACCTTACACCTTACAAGGCAGTTCTACTCTGTCCTACAGAGGTCATTATGAAAGAGACTAGATGTCAGTGGCTTGGTTTGGTTTTACATACATGAGGGCTATAAAAAGTTCATGGAAAAATACCATTTTACCTTTTAATTCCATTTTTTCCACACAATTTCTGAAGTGCAAAGGTACATACTGATTGACTAAATTAAATCATATTGCTCTGTTTACAAAAACTTGACTTTAATTTCATTTTGAGCAGTCAATAGTATTCACACTGTTAGATGCTTTTTATGATAGGACTATGAAATTAGGAGGCTTTATTTAAAAATATAATTGAATTAATATGTCCAAATTAATCAATTCCAAATTAGTAACTATTAATATTTGTTAAGAATTTACCTGGAACTGAGACATATATTTTATGTGGACTAACTCATTCACTCCACAGAAGAAAGATGAGGCTTTCTGTTCTTGTGAAGATTCAGTCTCAGAAACCCTACACAGAGTCACTATGAGTCTAAACCTACTAGTTGACACTTTACAACAAAATAACTCATTCAACCCAAATGTAGCAAACTCCAATCACATATCCTGGTGTGGTGCTGTAGGATAAGCACTGGACTGCAAGGTAGGTTCCAACTGCAAGGTCATTGGTTCAAACTCACCAGCCATTCCTTGGAAACATCATACAGGGTCAATATGAGTTGAAAAGACTCAATAGCACTTAACAGCAAGAGCATTCATTTTACAGAGCATTAAGTTGTTTGTCCAACATTACCTAGCTAGAAAGCAGATAGGGCCAAGTTTTAAAGGAGGTGGTCTGAGTCCTTAAATCACTATGCTACACTGCCTTTTTTACAAATTAGTTTCCTTGGGAGAAAATGTATAAAACATCAATACTGTCATCATTGTTTCTACTTTCTTTGGAAGTAGTATTTTATAAGTGTCCTCAGATAATCTCACTTCATCAACAAAGAATGCAAGACAAAGACTCTACTTCCATGGTCCCTGTCATTTCTAAGATAAGCAAATCATACTGTGTGGTGGTGGTCATGTGCCATGGAGTCGGTTCCGAGTCATAGCAACCCTGTACAGGGTTTCCGAGGCTGTAAATCTTTACGGGAGCAGAAAGTCTCATCATTCTCCTGCCAAACACTGGTAGTTTTGAACTGCTGACCATGAGATTAGCAGCCTGATTCGTAACCACTACGCTACCAGAGCTCCTTAGTATTTGCTGAATGAAAAAGGACTCCTAAAGAATTTTCAAACTTTTATTCTAAATGCTTTTTATCAAAGAATAATGTAGGTGGTATATAAACGTTCAGGTGTCTAAGTTTTCACACATATATCCTACTATATCAAAACAATCCAAATCAAAATTTGGAAACTGTCATTTGAAATGAAAGCAATGACATCATTGTTGTTAATTGCCTTCCAGTGAGTTCTGATTCATGGTGACCCTTTATAGGGTTTTGAAGGTTGTAAATCTCTATAGAAACAGAAAGACTCATCTTTTGCCTTAGAGCAGCTGGTAGATTTTTGAACTGCCAACTTTGTGTTTAGCAGTCTGGTGCTTATCCTACATCCCACCAGAGCTCCTTAATAATATAACAATAAATTGCTTTTAAAAATTCTGTACATTTTTATGTTAATTATTAAATAGAGCCAAAATTCAAAAGAAATCAGAATTTCTTAAACTCTAAAGTATTCAGGCTCTTAAATCAAAGTTACTCAATTTTTAAATTACTGCTGGAGGCAGCATTAGTAAAAAGTCTTGAGTTTAAAGCCCAGATCCAGCCATCACTTTGAAGATATAATGAACAACCAATTAAAACTTCCCAAGTCTCAGTTTTCTTCATTTATAAAATGGGAATACAAATGATGTTTTTTTAATATTTTGAGGATTAAATAAATGCTCATAAAAATAGCCTATACTCAACAAACCTTTTTGTGGCTGTTACATGCCATCAAGTAGGATTTGACTCATAGCAACCCTGTATAGGATTTCCAAGAAGTGGCTCGTGGGTTTGAACCACAGACCTTGTGGTTAGTAGCCCAGTGTCGATCCTACAGCTCCACACCAGAACTCCATCAGCAAACCTTACTACCTATTATTTCAAATCTTTTTTAAAATTTTTCATATCAACACTAGAAAGTATCATTAATCATTCCTTATACTCTTCAATTTATGACTAAGAGAAAATAATAAAACCATTCATTTGTTGTTGCTGCTTGTTGTTAAGTGCCACAAAGTCTGTTTCAACTCATACCGACCCTGTATAGCGTTTCCAAGAAACAGCTAGTGAGTTTGAACCACTGACCTTGTGATTCAAATCAACTTTGCAGTCTAGTGCTTTATCCCACAGTGCCATACCAGGTCTCCATGGCATTAGAAATCTTGAAATTATAGCAAATAGTTTATCAAGTTTTTATTTTTTATAGACATTTTTCAATATTCACAAATGTCAAGAACTGTAAATAGAAATATGTTATTTTATGGCTATCTGCAAAATTCATTCAGGATGACTGCAATTCAGAGGAAAAATAAAAATATGTATTACTTACTGTATACAGTGCTTGGCAATTTCAAAATGATTTGCAAACATTCATCCTCAAAATATTCCCACAAAATGCATCTGTGGAGGAAGAGAAAGTCCAAAAAGATAAGTAATTTGACAAGGTCACAGAAGAAAAAAAATAATAATCTAGACCAACATACATTCCAAATCTACAGTTGAATATACTAAAATAACATACAGTTTGCAACCATACCATTAGCAAAATATAATAGGCAGATGAACAAAAGTATTACCAAGTACATGTAAAATACTCTAAAGATCACTCAAAGAGGGCAAAAAGTAAGAAAAATAAAAATTATATGGAGGAAACGCTTTGTTCCCACAAAATTGATATAACAGGAGAAAAGCGATTTTTAAAACAAGAGATCTATACATATATTGAGTGCACAGATATCCCATATTTAAAAATACCAATAATTCAGGAGTTCTGGTGTGGCATTGTGGGTTAATGTGCTAGACTACAAAGTCAGTTTGAACCACAGGGTAAGCGGTTCAAGCTCAGCAGCTGCTCCTCAGAAACTCTACACAGGGTTGCTAAGGGTCAGAACCCACTGTACTGCACTGAGCAACAACAACAACATACAAATAATTCAAGTTTTTAAATGTACTTTTGTCTGATCTATGGAGGTCACTGAGGTACATGAAATTTTGCTTATCTTATCCAAAGAATGGCAACAGTTGACTTTGTAATTGCATTTCAATTCTAACTGAAAACCAAGCTCAGAGAAAAATACAGATATGCCATTTGCAAACATCACAATGATCCACAAGCAGATTCATTTTTTTTTGTTTTGTTTTCCTGGAAGTCACTGTGATTATAAGGAAAAAATTTCTAAATTTAATTTAATCAAATTTCATTATTTTAAAGGAGGAATGTAGTAAGAATACATATTAATTACAAAACTCAAAATATTTCAACTTAAATTTTGTTACTAACTTTTATGATTCTGTTTTATGAAGAAACTGTTTAAAATTAGGCAAAATAAAACACACCTCATGAAAAATAAACATAACTCTTTTGATATATTTTAATGTTGTGGCGCTGTAAGATAAGCACTGCAAGGCTGCAAGGCTGGCTGTTCAAACCTATCAGCTTCTCCTCGGAAACCCTATACAGGATCACTATGAGTCAGAACTGACTTAACAACAATAAGAACACAGTTTCAAACAGAACAGATACACAATAGACAATACAAATCAATATTTCCTCTAAGAACGGATTATATTTCAGAGCCAAAGTTTTTACAAGAATATCAGCTCTCATTTGAAAAAAAAAGTGCCCAGAAAGACTTGCTTACTTATAGCAAGCACTAAGTAGAAAACCAGTTTACTAATACAACAGGGGTGTTCGTGTTCATCAAAACCAATTGTAACCAAATCAACAGCTAAATATGCAGAGCAAACATTCTGAGTAGAAAGATGAATTTATCTTCTGATCGTGTGTGAAAGACACCAGAAATGTATTGAGCTCTACCTGGCATAGGACTGAATGATTCTACAAATGCTCTCAAGTAAGAGGAAAATGTATAGTTAGTAAACTTACAGCTCAATTACCAAAGAAAATATGTATTTTATAAATGACATTTTTTTAAGAGTAAAACTCGTAACTCAACATTGTTGTTAAGTGTTGTTGAGTTGATGCTGACAAGCAACCCTATATAGGGTTTCCACGTAAAGACCCTGTATTGGGTTTCTGAGGAGTGACTTTGTGGTTCAAACTGACCTTACAGTCGAGTGCTTATCCTACAGGATCCCACCAAGTGAGTTCTGATTCATAATCTTCCTGCATAGGGTTTCTGAGGAGCGGCTAGTGTGTTTGAACCATTGCTTGTGGTTCAAACTGACCTTGTAGTCAGAAGATACTAATTTACTTTCACATATAATTTGAGTAGAATTATGACGGTATTAAAATGAGCAGATCTATATATTTCTTCATCTATTAACATTGATATGGGCCTAAGGTAGATTATCATGTGAATTGCCAGTTTTGACAAAGCCAACAGGCAGAGAGACTGAAGTCAGAAACAGTGTTTTCCAACCCAGGTTTCTCCTTACTACAACATCTGCCAGCCCGAAAAGAGACTGCAAACTCAACAGCTCATAACCAAATCTGGTTTACTGACATGTTTTGTTTGTCCCACAGGAAGGTTTTTTGTTTTGTTTTGTTTTTTTTAATTGAACTATTCAAAATCAGGAGATGTCTCATAAGAATCAAAATGCTTTTATTTTTGAAAGAAAGAAAATATTGTTAAGACTGCTTGCAACTTCCATATGGACCAGAGTAATAGTTGCCCTTCTTTAGACATGTCATGCTTTCTACACTCATTCAATCCCAACTTTGGTAAATTGTCTTTACTCTATCAGTTTTAATTAAGCATAAAATTTTGCTCCTCTCTTCCAGGCATCCTCTAACTACCAACAAGATGAAGTCCTCTCTGCTTGCTATGAAACCTTACAAAAGACTTTAATATGCCTAACAATCTTATTTCATCAGTTGAAGCAACTGGAAATTACTACTCTTTTTCATTGGATTGGCATGTTGTTGTTAGGTTCTACTGAGTGAAATCTAACTCATAACCATCCTGTACCCAACCGATGGAAACAATGCTCAGTCCTCCATCACCCTCTCAACTGTTATTAGGTTTGAGGCCATTGCCAGAGCCACTATGTCAGTTCATCTCAGTGACATTCTTCCTCTTTTGCATTATTTGAATTAATGATCGGGGAAAAAAACATGTATTCCAGAAAAAAAAAAAAAAAAAACTTCGAAGATTAATAGATAGACCATTAATAGATGTTGGTGCTGTTGTTAAGTGCAATCAAGTGAGTTCAGACTCACAGAGACCCTGTATAGAATTTCTGAGGAGTGGCTGGCAGGTTTGAACTGCTGACTTTTCAGTTCAAACCAACCTTGTGGTCCAGTGTTTATCCTCTAGTGACATATGAGAACTCTCAGGTGGATCATGTTAAGGTAATTTGAATGATTTTTTAAAACTAAATCTTCATTGAAACTAGGTAAACAGGATCAAGGGAACATTAACCATGAAAGAGAAAGATAAGCAATCCACAAACTCTCCTTAAATCATGAAAATATACTGCAAAATGTCCTGAAATATCAGTAGTTTTACAGAGTGTTTGAAAGCTATGAACCTGGAATTTGGGGTAGCTGATGTAACAACTTTCAAAATCTGAAACTTTTTACGTATTCTTTAAAAAATAAATAAATAAATACACACACACATACACACACATGAAGGGACTTTAAAAAGTTCATGGAAAAATTGAATTAAAAGATAATGGAACTCTTCCATGAACTTTTGAAGCCCCTCTCATATACATGCCACCAACAAAAACAAATAAAAACACATAAATCTTAGGCCTTCTAAATCACTGGGAGATGGAGAATAATAAAAATGTCAAATTGCCTATACATAGAGAATCAAACAGAAATCTCTAGTAGAACTATCTTTCAAGTTCCTACCATATTGCATAAGAGATCTAGAAAGAATAAATAAATAAATTGATTAAATAACCATGAGGAAGAGAGAAACATAAGTTCTCAAGAGTGACACAAAAATCACTTGCAGAAAAAACCCACTCAAACTTTAAAGATACTAAAAAAAATTTGTTGGCGTATCAGGACCCTGACTACATATAAGAGATTTAAAAATTCACGGTATGTCAGGTGACAACATTTTTTTTCTCGAGGTAATTTTAAAATGCTATAGCTGTATCAAAAGGGCACAGGCCCCTGGTTTCAGAAGCTCCCAATGTTCATATGTGGGACAACTGGCACAACAAAATAAGTGGTTTTTATAAAAGATTAAAAACATTAAATAAAAGTATCAATAAACAGATGAATAAAGTATATTATGAAGAAGAGAAATGTTTCTTTAAAGTGGAATGCCACTTAGCAAATATAGAAGGAATGACAGAATCAGAAAATCAATATTAGGCAAACACTGCAGTAATGACTGATTCAGTCAAGGAAAAGCCAGTGGAACTTTGTTGTTGTTGTTGTTAAGTGCCACTGATTTGGTTCCAACTCATAGCGACCCTGTATAGTGTTCCCCAGGAGCAGTTGGTGAGTTTGAACCATCGACCTTCTTGTTCGAACCAACCTTGTGGTCCAGTGGTTTATCCTGCAGCGCCACACCAGTTCTCAAAGAAGACATTTTCATAGACTTCAAGAATCTTCCTACAAACTTATAGAGGAAGTTCAAAAAAAAAACTGATGATCTTGTCTGTTAACCTTCACTCAATACATAATAAAAAGTCTAAAAAGAAAAAAAAAGAATCTTCCTACAAAATGATTATTGATTACAGAAAAAGAGTCCTGGTGTGGTACTCCAATTACAGCACTGGACTGCAAGGTCAGTTTGAACTACAAAGTCTGTTCAAGCTCATAAACTCCATATAGGGTCGCTCTCAGTCAAAACTGACTCGATGGCACTTAACAACAATGGCAAAATCTGGCAAGGATTACCTTAAGTAAGTGACCAAAGACAATATTATCAATAATGAGACAAATACAATGTACTGAGAAGGACACAGCATCATTTATATGGTACACCACCAAACATACATAATCCGAATCTTATCATAAGAAAGCAAAAAGCAAACCTAAATTGAGGATATTCTACAAAATGTTTCACCTGAGCTCTTCAAATCTCAGTTATTAAAGATGAGGAAATGTTCTACATCAAAGAAGTTTAAAGTTTTAATCACCCACTTATTTCCTAATGCCTCTCTTTCTTCCCATATCCACTTTGGAATCCTGCAAATCTACCACAGACTTAGCATCTTTTTTACTCTGTAAAGTCCGTATTTTATATTCTGGAAAGTAATATAAATATCATTCTACAAGCATTTAGTAGATGTTTCTGGGATCTTTCCAGGTCTGACCCAACAAGTTCCCCATTCAATGAGTGTATATAAAAGCTATGCCTCCCTTTACACAAGACTACATTTTCTCTACTGGTTGAAAACACTGTGTGAGACAGCAACTAAACCTTACCTTTCTGAAGTGAAGATATATGAACTCTGGCTTCTTCTAT